GGGTTACAAAAAAAAAATTAAAACAAAAAGTTCAATCATGGATTACAAGCAAAAAAAACAAACATTTCGATCATGGATTACAAAAAATTCGATCATGGATTACAAAAAATTCTATCATGGGTTACAAAAAAAAAAAGAACAAAAAATTCGATCATGGATTACAAAAAAAAACAATTCGATCATGGATTACAAAAAAAAAAAAAAATTACTGTTATTCACAGAGCCATTTTACATAAGCCATTTTAACTAAAAAATCCACCTCTAAGTGAATAAATTACATCCAATTGAGTACATTTTCTGATAAACAACAATATAAGGAATCAAAACCCTAAATTTTTAACACATTATTTCTAATATATCATGAAAAAAAAATCAAAAGGCGGAAAAAAAAAAAAAAAACAAGCGGATTTTTAGTTCCGTAGACATCTCTGTGTTCATCTCAAAATTCATGCTGTAATTGACCAAATTACATAAAATTGAAAATTTTAAATCATAATAGACACAATAAAGATTAAAAACCCTAATTATTGAACTCATTATCTTCAAAATATGTCGTGAAATAAATCATATGGCGAAAAAAAAAAAAACCCAAACTTTTTACCTGATTTTGTGAACCGAAGCCTTCAATCTCCAAAAAACTCTGTTTTGCTCAACGATTATCACAAATTTGTAACAAAAGGTTTTGATGCACAGCTTTACGATCAAAATGCCTACAAATTTTGAAAGATTCGTGTCCTATTTGGCATGAAACACAAGGAAAGGCGGAAACCCTAAAAATGCAAGTTTCGTTATCCAAAACACCAAAATTTTCAACCATTTAATCCTCATAGAAGCTGAATAAAGCTGTTTACAGCCTGCAAATTAGATCACATGCCAAAAAAAACAAGAAAAATGATCAAAAAATGACAAATTTCGAAGAATCCCGTGAAGAACACTGTGCAACCCGTGTTCTTCACGAACTCGCCGATTCCGTACAGTGAATCGGCGAGTCACTGTACAAAATCGTCCGGTTCTCTCTAGAACCGGACGATTCCCGTTTTTTTAACCGATTTGATCCCCCCATGTCGATTTTCGAGTCGAACCGGGCGAGTCCGGTTGGAGTCGGCGTTTTTTTAAACACTGGAACAAACAGTCAATACACTACAAAATCAGGCCTTGATATACTTTGTTGGATTTAATTGCTATTTATGAATGCGAGCTGAGCACCGAGCTTAAACATGGAATAAATGCTGAACAATGAACAATAGTGGGAAATCTCGTGAAAAGTAATAATGAACTTTCCCAAACGCTAAAAAAAAAAAAGTAGTTATTTCCTCAAAAGGTTGACAGGAAATATCATATCAGACATAAAATAAAATGCAAATTAGAAAAATAAACTCGTGGATAAATATATTATAAGAGTAGAGACATGATTCTCTCAAGTGTTATTGGTAAAATGTTGTGTTGCTACCAAAAGAAGGTGATTATTTTGATTTTTTTGACAAACTTCGAGAATTTGAATCCTTTACCTCCCTAACCCACAAAAATATTCTACCACCAAGCTGAAACTTAAGAAATGATATTTTGTTGTGCTTGCTACATCTAATTTTAACTTTTTTAATTATAAATAAATTTACTAAATTCCTCATTTAAGTGTATCTTATGACCCGGGTTTGTTGTCCCAACAATGAAAGAACCTCATCTTTTATAGCGGAGTTTTGCATGTAAATAGCCTCTCGAGAATCTCGCTGACCAATTGCTTTGCTTTAGCTATATATATATATATATATATATATATAATATTTTCTCAGTTGAAGCCTAAACCCTATTATTAACGACATTTCACTAATGAGTGTATCCTAATTTTGGTGTTACACCTACTAATAGTGGCATGCTAAGCTAACACACCAGCACAACCCTGCAATATCTTTATTGCCACGGGAAAATATGGTCAGTTAACAAGAATGTACATAATCCTATTAGCCTAATTCAGCTCCAAACAAGACCTCGAGTCATTTTTTTTAAGGAGAGGATATGCCATTTTGGCATGTCTAAATATCCAAATAGAGGAATATCAATGCCAATTTTGAAGAGAATAATCACAAGTATGCCACTGCCAATATATATTGACACCATTTTTGAAGAGGCCCTACAAACTCCATTCAAATATTATATTAAGTCATGACAAAAGTGTTATTACATTAAGAAAAATGGAAACCAAACATCTTTTTCGAAAGTGGATGTTTGGTGCAACTATTCCTTTCCTCCTTCTCTTTGGTTTATTTTTCTATCTTTTCTACTTCATGTGTTTTTCTTTCTTTTATTTTGTTTATTATGATGTCCTTTATCTCTCTTCTACTATATGTATATCTAGGAAATGTATATAATGAGGTTATTTATTTTTTATACAAAAATGTCACAATCATTATTTACTATTAGATTTGAAATTGGGTAGTTGATGTTGTATCATTATTTGGACATAAAATCTAAAATAAAAATTATCAAATATTGCGACACTTTCATTTATTGGATTTCACATCTAATGGCAAAAAATCATTGTGTCTTCTTTATATAAAAAATAAATGATCTCACAATATACAATCCTGTATACAAATTAGCATGTGATAGCGTGTATGCAAATGTGCATCTTCTTTTCCTTCTGTTTTTTTTTTTAATCTCTTTTTCATTAGTTTTTCCTCTTTACTCTCTCTCGACCTTTATAGGAGGGCACTTACTAAGAAAATTAAAAATCCAAAATGGAAAATTTTAAAAATTGAAAGGGCGTTTGCGTCATTCAACAGTCATCTGGGCATTTACGTAATTTCCAGCCGATGCAAGGTTCAAAGACAGATGGAAAGGAAATAAAACCTACGAAGAGAGAATAAACGAGAAAAGCGTAAAAAAACTGATTTCCTCATAAAATAATAATATCTTATTTTTCGATTTATTTTATTTTTCTGATAAATCGAAGAAGCCGAATAGGTGCGGCTTCAAAAAGAGAGGGCCTTTGTGGGTATGGGTCAATAAGAAGCCCATGGTTTGAAAATGCTTTCTTCAAGCCTCTGCAACTCCCCTTCGCGTATCTTATTTATTTCTCTATGTATTCTCTATCTATTTTTGCGCCTTTAACGGAGTTTTAATCCGTATCTCTGCCCTAGATTTCTCATTTTTTTCTCAGAAGGTGCGGCTTCTCTGGTTCTTGAGAATCTTAAGGATTGTTTCGAATTTTTCCATTCTTGTGTTGTTATTAGAGCAGATTAGTTGAGAATAATATTGGAGTTGTCTTGTTAATGGACACAGATCGCATCTAGGGTTTTGGCCTCGGCCTCTGGTTATATATTGTGGTTTTTGGAGGTGAGTGGAGAAGGATTTTTGTTATTATTGGTTGGTTGAGGCGTTAATGGATGCATGCATAACAGGGTTTTGGTGGCGAAGTTGCAGAGGATTGGGGGTTTTATGTCGAGCTTCTGAGGAAATTGGGATTGAAATATAATGTGAGTTCTTGTCTCTGATTCTGATTTGGGCTTTATTTATTTCATTTGCTTAGTTTGGATTGATGAACTGTTTTGAGGGGAACTTAAGAAACCCTAATTTGTTTTGTTTAGAGGCATTATGTGGGTTTGGGAATAAATTTGGTTTTTGTGGATGCATAGTTGTAATGTATGCATAACCTTTGTAGACATGGTCATTAATCTCCTGCATTACAGGATCATGCATGAACTCAATCAGCACGAATATATATAGTTTCTATCTGTTTATTGGAGTTGATGCATGATGTGTATTTGTCATGCTTTTACTTATACGTATTTGTATGGTATCTCTTGTACATCACAAACCTTTCAAATAATCCCCCACCCCACCAAAGCAACAAAAGAAAGAGCATTCTTTTGAACATTGATTTCATTGTCTAAATTATATTGCATATGGTCATCACCGTTTGTGTAGTTTCCCATATTCTCTTGTAGATTTTGGTATTAGAGGATTAGAGATCGGGTATCAGTTTCCGTGGAATGCAGAACACCCAGGCTTGTAGACATTTTGTATGGCAACGCTATTGTATGTTTCTTTCGTCTTTATTATCTCTTCTGATCATGGATAGGCAGGTGCATTTCAGGTTCCAGAATCATATAGGATGGATGTGGAACCAGGGTCAGGAGTTAAACTGAGTCTGATTAATACCTCTATTCATACTCTGACATTTTCTTTTGAACTTGAGGGGAGGTGTATGTGGAGAGGTGGTAGTGAGAGTTACGATTATAGATTCATGAGGTGGGAGTCTGTTTCTTTCCTGAAGAGCCATGTTGTTTAGTTGCCTAAGATCAAATGGTCTAGCACTTGGGTAACCTGGGGCATTGTGGTTTAGATTGTTGTTAAAGAAATATGGGTGTTAAAGAACTCATTGGGGGATGTAGATACGGAGGAACGTAAGAACATGGTTTTTGTGCATCGAAGTGCTCTTTTATATAAAGAAGAATAATAGGAAAAAGGAAGCTACTCATGGGATTGGTGAGAGAGTAAAGTTCTTCTCTACTCAGATGTGTGGTGTGGTACCGAGTCCTTGATTCTCCTCTTCCTGCATTTGGCCAGTTTTGCTTTTGTTCTGGTGATGTCAGTCTAATATTATTGGAAGGGGGACATTCATCTCCAGAAATATGTATTTGGTAGACTCCAAATAACTAGTTTGTGTTGGTAGCAGGAGAAATTTGTGGACCTTTTCTGTAAACGGTATACCACACCATTAGGATCTTGAAATTCTTCGTAAAATTTGCTGTGAGTCAGTGTAAGGACTCACAGAGTCTATTCCTGTATGCTGTCTAGTGGTTCTATACATTGTGAAATGTTCACTTTGGATGTATCCTTGGACATGTGGAAAGAGATAATAGTATGATCTTTGCTTTTTGAATTGGATGAGACCTGGGAATGTAACAAGTTCGTCATTTCATGGACCCAAGCAATAATCAATAAGTGTAGTGTCTTTGTAGATCAAATGACTTCAGTCTGGAGTGGATCTGATGCCCAAGGGGGTTCTTATGCGTCTCAATTTTGATGGCAGATTAAAGGGAAACCAAGTCCATGTCCCACCCACCCTCCTGGAGTGGTAGCTCAGTTGGAGACAAGCTAGGTACGGTTGTTAAGACATTTGTGGGTCCCTTTGGGGCCGGCAATGCTACCGTGTAAAAAATGGAATCTCACTCAAGTGGCTTGCCTTAGGTCTTGTTTCTCTTTCTCTGTTATGGTGATTTTCTCAGTGTCACTGCATTCCCGTGGACATAAACTAATTTCATGGAGGAATTTTCTAAAAGACAGAACAGAGCGTCAATCCCCCATCTCTGTCTTTGGAGAGGCCTATGACGAGGTGGATTCCCTTGCCTGTGAGGGAGTTCTGATGGATTTGGTATGGAGCAAGTCATTGTTTTGTTAACTACATAAAGTCAGTACAAGGGCGATGGATTTTATCAATCTAACTGAGGCCTCCTTGATAAATCTGCAGAATATGGTTGTGCAGTGACCCCACTTCTTGATCTTCCTTAGTCAAATGAGATTCAGCATGATTCCTCACTGAACCTTACCCATGAATCAATTGTTTCTTCGCTTATTTCAGATTCACTGACAGCTTTAGGCTTCTATATACTTTATCCCTGTTAGGTACTCACGGCCACCTTTGAATCTGTATTCCAGCTAGACTGCTCCATTCTAGTACCTAAACATGTTTTAGTGATCTACAGTTTGTTGATCTTTGTGTTCTTCCTTGCCAAACTTTCTTGGATTGTTTGGCTCACTTGTAGAGTGTTGCTGAGGAGTGTTTTTAGTTACTGCCACCATTTCCTTCAATCATTCGATCTTTAAAATCTTTAGTCTTGAGTTTTTCAGCACTTCAACTGCAGTATGGTGCTCAAAAGTTTCCTTATTCTACTTCTTCTTGTGTGAGTTCCTTGTAGGCAGTGCCTGAAGCATGCAAGGGACTCAGGAGCCAATTGACTGGAGTATTGAGCTTGTTTCGGGTGATTAAACATTACTTTCTGAATCATATTGACATTAAGCAGACAAGAATCGATCCTGCTACTGTTTCAAATCTGGCTGTGGACTATTTAATGAAATGGTGAAGGTCAACCAATGCAACTGAGGGTTCTTATTTTCTCTATGCATCTGCAAGATATTTGACATGACAGGTGCTGAAGGCACCGTGGTGTTGATGCCCTGAATAGCTGACTGGATTAAAGACTTCAGTTAATAAGGGGATGACCTGACAGTCATCTGGTCTCTGGTCTCCATCTTGATTTGATTATGTGACTTACATGTGTTTCAGTTGGCCATAACAAAAAATGTAAACATGAAATATAGAACTTAGAAGACAAGGGTTCAAGTTTCAGTTATAATATGAAATACAGTGTTCTACTAATTTTTGGCTACATGTGGAATTCAAAATACTAACCTTCTTATTTATGCATTCTTTAACAGGAGTGAATATTTAATGTTGCCATTTGATCTGTATATGCTAAGCTGCTTTTTCGACTGCTATGCATTGATTATCCATGCTGACTTGCTTTCTTAGCAACCTTCTCAGCATCAAGGTTTTAATAATTGTGCCATATAACCTGCTGATTTGCACGTTTGTTCTGGGAAAAGTAATAATTTTTTCTTACTTTGGAAGATGGCATGATTACGTTATCCTTTTATTTCTTTGGTCATTATTCTTCTTTTGAACATCTTTGGAGGTGCCTTTCTTATGTAGAACTGATTCCCTTGCTTGTTTTTATTCTGTACTCCAGGTGCTACGAAGGATATGGCTTGTAGGAAGTATGACGCTTCCGCTGGTGCAGCTCCTCTAAATTTAACTCCCTCAACATTAGCTGGGAGAACAAATGAGACGGGCTATCCTAGTGATCCACTTGCTGCTACGAGTCCTCCGATGGAAGCTGATGTAGATATCGACCTTAGTGAAGTTTATTTCTTGATAATGCATTTTCTTTCTGGAGGCCCATGTCATAGGACCTATGGACAATTTTGGAATGAACTTTTGGAGCATCAGCTTCTACCTAGAAGATATCATGCTTGGTATTCTAGGAAAGGTATACACAGTGGGGATGAAGATGATAATGGCATGTCCTTCCCCCTGAGCTACAATAAATTGGTAGAAAGGTAATTATTTTTTTTGGGTTGAGAGTTATTGTCTTATTTTATTTTATTTGGTCTCTCTAGAAGATATTGATATCTGATTTCTGTTAAAATATACTGCCTCCCGGTAATAAATATTGTGTTTCGATGAGATTAAAAAAAAGCTATGCATGGAAGTACGTTATTGTCTTGAAAGGCCACACAATGTTTATCTTTTGATTTTATCTTGTCTAAAATCTTATGTATTGGGCAGTCTATGTTTTCTGGTCGAACTATTTGCTTGAAAATCTGGGCTCTATTATATTGAGGTCTTGACCTTAGAGATTGGCCTAATCTACATGTGCCAACTTTGATTTTGTATGCAACAGTAAATTAGTTGTGACCGGATTTCTTTTAATCTTACTTTGGGTGGGGTGTTTGAAATGGTTGGATCGTCCTGCCTGCAGTAGTGTCCTAGAACTCAAATGCTACTCTTGTTGAACTTTCTAAAAATTAGATCCAAACAAAAACCAGAGAAAAAGTCAGACTGCCTGGAAACCTCTATCTTCATCCAAAGTGGTCCATGTCTCTTATCCTAGCAGTGTCTCCTTGGTCTATCTAGTACTGGTGGCATCACACTTGACAGAATAGCTTTCTATGGTCTGAGGGGTCTACTTTTTTGGTGCATTCATGGTTATCTGTGTCCTGGGAGAACTTAATTTGAGGGAGGTCATGAGTCTCGAGTTTCTTGCTGTTGGCAGCATAGGACCATCTTGTGCTCGGGTGGGGCCAGTTTTCAAATTTGTTTGTTTCCTTTGTTGTTTGGTTGTGAATACATGCACATGCGCATATATTTTATCATGGTATGATGAGAGTCAATATACAAGGGCATGTTTTCCCATTTGTGTATCTCCCCGCAAAAGATGGATGCAAGAGCAGCAAACAAGTATTTTAAAAGGTGGAGTTATCCTAGATATCTCCCAGTTCCGTTCGTAGAATGTGGTAGAATGCTTAGATATCTGTAAGACGTCGTAGTGCCTCTAACCCACTGTCATCCAGACTCAAAACCGGTCAAAACCAATGTACAATTGGTTTTGGCTGGTCGAACCAGTTGTTTTTGACCGGTTGGAACAGCTAAAGAAGGTTGAACAACTTCTCTGTTATAAATTTCATATTTTTAAGCTATTTTTCCAATTATACCTTTATGTTTTGAACAATCCTATCCAACCAGTTTGACCAGTAGTTGGATTGGTTTTGACTGGACCAGACCGTTGATTGCTTCAGCGGTGGTTTGATTCCAATAATAGTGCTCCAAACAATGTTTTACTGCTTTGCATGCATATGGACTGTCTTGTGTGGGGCATATACCTGCAAAACAGGTCCTTAATAAACACGACCCGAAGACCTGTTCAGGCACATGCTCAAATTGAGCTTATATATGCATACTTTTATGAACAATTTGGTGCCACAGGAACAGCTATGGAGGTTGATGGGATTAACCTGGGATATCCAGATATCTAGGGTAGATGCAAATCTATAACAAGTAGGTTTTGTCTTTATCCTGGATAGGGCTGCTTGTGGTGCTTATTCGCACCCAATCAGGGCATAAGGGACTCTAGCTGTAATCTACGATCTGCTTCATCTTACTTTCCCTTTTATATGTGAATTAGCTTTCACTTACATAAGCTCATTTATGGGTTTTATGGCACTGCCTTTTGTTGCGTCGACTCATTTATCTGGTTCTATCTTTCAGGTATCCTCATATTGATAAGGATCACTTGGTAAAGCTTTTGAAGCAGCTGTTACTGACTAGTGTTCCATCCCCCCAAGGCACATTAGGAGGAAATGCTCCCAGGGCTGGTGATGTTCCTACACTTTTGGGAACTGGTTCCTTTTCACTTTTGGGATGTAAGCAATGCTGTTTGATTTACTGCTATCATTGTTTAGAAATTTCTTCCTAGCTATTTTGTTATTGAAGCTTTCTTCTGCCACCTCTCAAGTCTTGTGATTTGAATTGTTTTGGTTTCTTTGATTTTTTTGGCAGCTGATAGGACCAGAGAAGATCAGAAACCTGTTCGACTGCCAAGTTACTTGCGTTGGCCTCATATACAGGCTGGCCAGTTGCATGGTTTGAGCTTGAGGGAGATCGGAGGTGGTTTTACTAAACACCATCGTGCTCCATCTATTCGTGCAGCATGTTATGCTATTGTAAAGCCAGCAACTATGCTTCAAAAAATGCAGATAATCAAGAGACTAAGGGGGCATCAGAATGCTGTCTATTGCGGTATGCTATTTTAATATTGAAGTAGCAGTGTCTTCTAAGTTTCGAAATAATCATATGTTTAAAACAATACATAATTAGAATTAAAGTACTGTATGTTGTTTGATTATTGTGAGAGATTATTGTCCTATCCAGTTTCATTTATTATGGCAACTGATGAAAACAGGAAAGCCGTGAAGAAACAAACCAGTAAACTGTCCGTAGAGAAAACATTTAATCCAACATGGGTTAACCTATCAGTTCTCTGTTGTTACAGCAGCAAGTAGTGCTGCTTGTGAAAGAACCCTGGAGCAAGAAATAACTAGTTAGCACTTGTCATAGATTATGTCAGTTTAGGTACATTATTATTTTTTTTCCTTTTTTGGGGTGCTGTTGTTTGAAATTGCAGATACCTAGTAGCAATGTTTACTGTGAACTCTTTGTTCTGATTGTAGCAGCTGATTTATTTTCGGTCCATTGTATTATGTATGGGGAAACATGACTATCTGTATATGAAGTACTGTTGCATGTTAGCCACTTTAATGGTTCGGATACCTGTCCTTTCTACCACATTTTATTCTCTGCATGGCTAGAAGCTACAAATTTCTCCTTTTGTCACTTTCAATCTTGAACATGACTGAGTTGTTCCTAGGGGTTCTTTTCTTATGATTATCTCATTTGACATTTATGGCTGTAGAGTTACAAATCTCTCCCTTTGTCGTTCCCAGTATTGATCATGAGTTATTCCTAGCAGTTCTTTTGCAAGTCTTATGATTATCTCATTTGACAGTTTTGTGCTTTGTGCACATTGCAGCCATATTTGATCGCTCAGGGAGATATGTGATCACTGGCTCTGATGATCGCCTTGTCAAGATTTGGTCCATGGAAACTGCATTCTGCTTGGCTAGCTGTCGTGGGCATGAAGTGAGTTTGGCTTGTGTCTTGCCTTTTATCATATTTTGCTGCTGTTTGGCTTTATTTTTTTTTCTCTGTAATAGTGGCTTATTTTCTTTCGTAAGGGTGACATCACTGACTTGGCTGTGAGTTCAAACAATGCCGTTGTGGCCTCTGCTTCTAATGACTGCATCATCCGAGTAGTAAGTTTCATTTATCCTGCATGGTTTTCTCAGATCTTTGCAGTTCTGAGGCAACCTTTGCTTCATGTTGTATTGGTACATTGAGTGGATCATTATATTGGGAAATCTGTTGCAGTGGCGTTTGCCTGATGGGGTGCCAATTTCTGTCTTGCGGGGACATACTGGGGCTGTTACTGCCATTGCTTTCAGTCCTAGGCCAAGTGCTGTTTATCAACTTTTGTCGTAAGTCTCATTTCTTTGATCATTGCTGTCTTTGATATAAGTTCGTGTTTCAAGAATTTTCATCAGCCTTCTAAATCAGCAAATATATTGTATTGTGCTTTTCGTTCCATCTTTTGTTTGCCCAAGCCTTCCGTGCGAGTTACCAATGTAAGTCTGTCTAGTGGATAATGTTATATACGAATAAATCCACAGTTTCCTGCGGCTTGATTACAGTTTCTCAGTAACCTAGCTTTCAGGTCCTGTTCAATAAAAATATGATTTTTGTTGTCCATATTTTTTTTTATCTGTGATTTTTGTGCTGCTCTTGTCGATGGGCTTTCGTTATTTGCATTGGTGTCTAAAAACTCATGTTTAAGACTTGGGACTTGTGGGAGAGAACTTGGTCAGGCACCTCCCAAGTTGTTATACTTCTAGACTTACTGGGTGTTGAAAATAGCCAAGTCCTCTGAAGACTTCCTGAAGTTTCTATGAGACTTGATATTTTGAGTAGCATCGCAGTGTTATTTCTGCACGACTTGCCAGTTTGTCTTGCAGATTGGTAAATCCTTCCTAGTCGGGGACCAGACTCTTTTCCAAGCTGCGTCTGACTTCAGATATCGATCTGTATTCTTGGAGACGTTTGAGTTCTAATAGTTGTAAGCTCATGCTATACCACTATACACAGATGTATAGTATCAGAGCTAGGGATAGCAAGAGATTACTATAGAATGGAAAACCTGAAGAAATATTTGATGTTTCGGATTAAGGTCAAAGCTAATGAAATGATTGTGTTTCCCTGATTCTGTGAATTCATCAGATATGATTCTTTATTTAACGTTATGATTATCAGAAAAGCGTTTAAAGTGTGAATTATGGTTCAGAAATGTATATCAGAAAGACTTCAGTGCATGAAATCCTGAATGTATATCATGAAAATATAAAACAATATAATCATGATGAATTGTCAAACTGAAAGAATCTTAATGGTCCAGTTGCAAATGTAGCAGGGCTCCAACGATCTTAAGGATACTAATCGAGAAGTATTTGAATCACTGTTTAGCATGTTTGACTGGTTTACGTAGAAAACAGGAGACAACAGCCTCTGTTGCCGTATTGAGGATTCATTGTGCTATGAAAACTTAGTACATTATTTTGGGCTAACTATTGGATTTGAGTAAATTTGCAGCGTTATGGTGGATGAGTTAGCAGTTTTATTTTGTTCTGCAATTGTGTGAATTGGCAAATGCACTCTTGAGAAGTTTGTCCTGTTTTTCTGGGGGTATAAGTGGATTTAATGTTTAATATTTAGATTCCAAAAGTGCCAGAAATGTGGCGATAAGCTGTTTGAATCAGTTGTCGTTCAAAGGATGAAGTGACTAAAGCATATCTCTGTTCCTTGATATGTTCGGGAAATATAATTCAGGTAGATGCTCTACCAATTATCAGCTGCCTTTCTTTGGCGTATTGGATACAAATGGGTCTAATTTGGCTGGAAGCTTCACATGCATAACAATGCATAGCAGTTCCTAACCAATCTGGCGATCCTTTGTAAACTAAGGAAACCAAATTTGTCCATGTGGTGGTTGTCAATGTGTTTAACATTGGTTGCTAAGTTTTATGCAGGAAATAAGCACTTCATTGTCCATCTTGACTTTTTTACTTTGACTGATATTCTTTTGTTCTTCCTTTATTTATAGTTTCTCCTTTTTCCATGGAAATTTGGAATTCTCACTCCCTCTCACTTTTAGGTCATCTGATGATGGAACATGCCGGATCTGGGACGCAAGGCACTCCCAATCAAGCCCGCGGATTTACATTCCAAAGCCTCCAGATCCAATATCCGGTTAGTTTCTTCTGTGCTTCTCATTAAATAAATGATTTTATGCATGATTATTGGGCTTTGACAACTTGTTTCAAAGGTCTTAAAGCTAATGGAGGAAAAAACAGCGAGCCTTCTCAGGCAATGAGTCAACGCAGTCACCAGATATTGTGCTGTGCATACAATGCTAATGGAACAGTTTTTGTGACTGGTAGCTCGGATACTTATGCTAGGGTAATTTGTTGATTTCTCTATTTTGGAGAACCATACATTTGAGTATCCTTTTTTTTTTGGGCTAAACGAATAGAATGCGAACTGCAATACCGAACCTGTGCATGTGCTAAGGGTGCCTCTGCGAGCATGTGAAGTGTAAATTGCTCCTTAAGCGCCTTTGTGTCCTCATATGCACCTGCATTGCATGCTCGGCAAAGGCCTTCTTGCCTTCGGCTCCATGAACTTTCCATTTGAATATGTTTAGTCTGCTATGTATAATTCATTTATTATTTGCATTTATAATCAGTTATAAAGTATGCTTTCAGGTTTGGAGCGCCTGTAAGTGGAATTTAGAGGAGTCTGAACAGCCAAATCATGAAATGGATGTGTTATCTGGGCATGAAAATGATGTGAACTATGTGCAGTTCAGGTTAGTTTTGGTTGGTGAAAATTCTTATTCTCTTGGAAGGCTGTGTTTGGCAATTGTTTACTTGTCAGCAAGTCGTCCGTACTAATTTATTTATTGTGCTGTTTCTTGATCCAGTGGTTGTGCTGTGGCATCAAGATCTCTTTCTACCGACTTTATGAAGGAAGATAATGTTCCAAAATTTAAAAACTCCTGGTATGTTGTTGTACTTGTTGAACAGCTTATGAATGGATCTTCGATCGTCCTCCTCTGGACCTATCATTTTTTCATAACTCTGATTTAGTTACGAAAACATTGTTTGCATTTTTTTTTCTTCTTGCCAGTGAACAATAATTTGGTTAATTTGTGAATGTATCAGCATCTTGAACAGTAATTTGATTTTCCCAGGTTTACTCATGACAATATAGTTACTTGTTCTAGAGATGGCAGTGCAATCATATGGATCCCTCGGTCTCGCAAGTCTCATGTGAGCTCCCCCCCTCCCTCTCTCTCTCTCTCTTATTCATTTATTGTTGTTGTCTTCTACATGCTTGATTCTTTCATGCTATTCTCTTCATTTGGATATGTCCATTTCCCTTTGCTGTAAAATCCTGAGTCATGGAATCAATCAATGTATTCCCATTTCTAAGAACCTTCTATATTCATGGTTACAAATGTTTTAAGACTTGAAGACTTGTGGGAGAAAGAATGAAAAGCAAAAAAGATGGGTTGAAATATGTAAGGACATCGGCTGGGGTAAGCTTGCTAATATTAGGACACAAGGGCTATTCGTGCTTCTATAGGATCGTTGGCATTTATTGCGAAGCCTTGGTGCTCTTTGCTCGGACTGGTGGTCCTAATTGGTAGTCAGGAATTTCAGTAAGGTAACACTATAGTGGGACAAATTTCTTCAAAATCTATTGTAGTTCAGCAATTTGGGACAGGTATAGCAGGCATTCTTTCAGAGAGAGAGAGAAAGAGAAAAAAAAAAAACCTATAATAAGGAATCCTATCACAATTCAAAACGTTCAGTAAGAATTATTGATTCAGAAATAAGTCATGAGGATTGAATGAAATCACATAGAAAAGCTGTAGAGGCAGGCCAAGGGATTGAAAAAGACAAGAATTTTTAAAAAATTGAAAACTTTCCTGTATCAGATAACATTCCCTCTGGAGGTGGAGGACCATATTAAAACAACAGAAAATACACCAAACAGTAACAGTAATTATGAAATCTTGCTACTCTTATGGTGTAACAGATCAGCTGATGACCGCATTGACAAGATCACTTATACAAAATCGCATAGATGGAAGGCAGGTGTGATTTGGATGAGGCAGGAATGATTTGGATGAGGAATCCATATAATCAATGGTGGACTTTAGGGCTGCAATGCAAACACTGGAAAATCAATCAAGTTGGGATGGAGCAACTTAGTTAGAAGGAACAAATTTTTTATTGAAAACATATGCAAAGAGATGCATGGCTATTGTCTCAAGGGGAAAAAGTTAGAATACAGAATCGTTGAAGAACCCCTAATCATTAGCACCTTCATATAATGGTGCAAGTCTGTCCTTAGAAGACAAAGTTGTTGGTGAACAAAGTTGTTGGTGATAGACAGATCGTAGTACGTAGTGTAAAGGTAGCAATTATGATATTAGCATGTTTTTTAGAATTACATGGAAATTATCACTGTTGGTGCCTATTCAACATTGCCCTCAATGGCGAGTTACTTTTAAAAAATTTGTGGCTCGGTTGACCTCAGGAGTTTTGGCTGACTAATTGAGTAACTTGTTTGGCAACTTATTGAGTCTGGTTGTTTTCTGGAATTTGAATGCAATACTGATGGTTTTTATTTGCTCAAATACAAGTTTCAGTCATTGCTTATGATATTTTAGATTTTTAGGTTGTTTATGTGCTCTCTGGTTTTGCTTTAATATTCTTTGGTTCAACAAAAAGTTTTACTGAGCATGTAAAATGCATAAGATGCATAACATTTCTCTCCTTTTTCGTTCGTTGTTGTAACTTCAGGGAAAAGTTGGGCGCTGGACCCGAGCATATCATCTCAAAGTCCCCCCGCCACCAATGCCTCCTCAGCCGCCTCGCGGCGGACCACGCCAAAGATTACTTCCAACTCCTCGTGGTGTGAACATGATTGTCTGGAGTTTGGATAATCGTTTTGTGCTCGCTGCTATCATGGGTTAGGTTTCGTTCGTTACTTTGGTTTCATGTTGTATCTTACCAGTTAGTTGTTTCTATACTTTGGTACAAAGTTCTTATTAGAAAGCTGAATGTTTTTTTTTTGCTTTGAAAGTTTTGTTGACTGAAGATAATACCATTCTTTACATATTGCCCCACTATTGCAAGTTTGTGATTTTCATTCAGAGTTTATGGCAGAAGTTCTACGTACTTCCTCCTAATATTGGGGAGGCAATAAATCCATATTCTTATTTCCTTGTTCCGTTTTGAATTTTAGCTTTTGCGGGGTCCTCCTCTCTTTGTAGAACTTTTGTGAAGTTCTTTTCAGAATCCTTTTTAATGTTCTCATTCAAATAAATGTTTGTGTTTTGGTTTATCATTTTAGTATGAAGGCTCATAATATCTATTACTTGCAGATTGCAGGATATGCGTGTGGAATGCTGTTGATGGCAGCTTAGTTCATTCTTTAACTGGCCATACCGAATCGGTAAGTGATGTAGTATATTTTTCACGGTTTTTTTTGTGCCAACTTTCTTCCATGACCATTGTGTCCTAGAAATAATTGGTCTATTGATATGGGGACTTTATGGCCTCATTGAGGGAAGGGCCTTAAAAAGAGTAGAATGGCAGACCAGGATTCGTGTAGCCGACCCAATTAATTGGAAAAAGGCTATGATGATGATGATGATGAAATAATTGGTCTATGCAACTATTCACTACCCGGAGTATTCAACTACTCACTATGTCCCAAATTATTATCCTTATTTGTATATTTTTATAATATCTATGCAACTATTCACTACCCGGAGTATTCAACTACTCGTTATGTCCCAAATTATTATCCTTATTTGTATATTTTTATAATAGAAAAGCTTTCTCCTTCTACTTTGCATTTTTCCTTGTCTTCCAGCTGAATAAACTGTAGCTGGATTATTCCAACTATTCATTATTTGGGATATAATTGTTATTATTATTATTATTTTTGCATTTTTTATGAGAGATGCTTTAGTATAGTTCTTTGTCTTCCCGCCGAAAACTATAGCTACAGTTTTCTTTGACTTTTTTAGCATTGTAAGTTTGTTTGTGCTGATTCTTTTTCTTTTTTATCTCCTTATTTATCCTTTGAGGAAGTTCAATTTCTTATTAGTTGTTAGCTGGTTCTTTTTCTTTTTTTCCTTTTTCTTTGTTTAAAATTATCTGAGTCATTGTTATTACTGTGAAATAATAAATAATTGTAGTAATTACTAATATGTTCATTGGCATCATCATTTCTATTATTAAGCAAATTTTGATCGAATTGTCGACAGACATATGTCTTGGATGTTCATCCTTTTAACCCACGGATAGCCATGAGTGCAGGCTATGATGGGAAAACCATTGTTTGGGATGTGAGTTGCTGCATATCCTTTCTTGTTTGTTCTTAATTTGTTTGCAATGCCTTTATTTTTCTTTTTGGCTGTAATTCCTTTAAGGCTTCTGTTATTTTTTAGATATGGGAGGGCATACCAATTCGCATTTATGAAACTGGTCGTTTCAAGCTCGTCGATGGAAAGTTCTCCCCGTAAGTTTACCAAACTGAAGGAATTATGTTGGGCAATTGATGTATTCTGTCCATTATTTGAACAATTAATTTTTGTTGAACTTTGTAGGAAGCATTTGTAATGATATAAAGCCATATGTAAGCCTGTGAGTTTTGTTGCTTCAAATACCAACTGATTCTATAACTCCCATCCTCATTGCTTAAATTTGGTAGTTGTGGGGATGGGAAAGGGAAGAGGGGGCATATTTGGTGACTTTGTATTATTTTTCTTTCAATCTTTTGAAATGGCTTCTTTGGACAGCATCTCCCGTTGCATTTGGAAGTTATAAATCTGTTCTTATGATACACGCATAATCGCATGGCTTTTGAGTTTTTTGGATTTCTTGTTCACGGAAGTGTTGTAGATGAAAGTTTATTTTTGAATCAAACGTGCTTACTATGATTTGATTAATCAATGGGTATATGCATGTTTTATCTGAGTTAACTTGCTGCCTTTGGCAAGTGGGAATCCACAGGCCAGTGCACCTGGAATAACTTAAATATGTTGTACCTTTCATTTCTTGCTTGTAGTTTTTCCAATGACATGCATAAGAAACATGTATGGAGGGGGATGGGCGGTGGTTGAGAATATTTTCCTTGTTTTTGTTTTTCTTGACTATTAGGCGAATCACCTCCATTCCGTTCGCATTAGGGCATTCTGATCGCTTCTCATACGTAATCTTTTCTTTTCACATATTCATGGCGGTAGTTATGCCCTGTGTTGCATGATTCTTCAGTCTAGGCTCCATACCTGTGTTGGACATGGCTGGACACGGCTAGATTCTTCTCATGATGTTTCAGATTCTTCTCACTAAAGAATCTTGTAATATAATATTAATTTTACCTGTGTTTGAACTTCTATTTGTTTTAATATTTATTTTCTTTTTTTTACTTTAATATTAAGATTTTCATTATTTAAACCTTAAACATAGAGAAGGGGTGTGCATCTCAAACTGCAAATTCATAAAGCCTAATATCTCCTACCTATCCCACTGTCATTGTGAGTTCCTATAACTTTGCGGGACTGTTGGATTCTCCCTTAATT